TATTCAAAAACATACTGCTATATACTTCAAAAATTTGGTAGTCACAAATTTAGACAGTTACGGATCAATATTTTCTAAAAAAGTAAACATATCGATGTTACAGCCATTCTCTGTTTCCCTGTGAGAATTCCAATATAATTGAATATTTAACCTTATTGATTACATTTCTAAATAAACTTTATTGCTCCGATTATAGATCTATCTCATCAGACAACGATAATAGTATTTATCTATCAATAAAATCGATTCAGAAAAGTGTTTTCAATTATATTTGAAGTGCCTTCAAATGAAAGTGGATTTCTCAAAGATTTTTTATTTCGAGAGATATCAATCCCGTTTGCCACACAGCTTCGGCATCAATATAATCCAGTTTTTATGACCAATATTAAAATTTATGAATCCATGAGTCTAAGCAGATTGTTTGAATTTGTGGAATGAAGGTTATTAAAAACGCAATACCTTTTTTTATATTTTACTCATATTGAAATCCTGCAAATATCGGGGATCAATTCTCAAATCTGAAGTCGAGTGGTATTTCGTTGGGAGATAAGTGATGATTTTGCTCCCTACCTTAAAAGCATGAAAGGGAAAGTGCTTCTTTTATCTCGAATATTCACTCGATCATCCGCGATTGATTTCCATATTTTATTTTCTAAACTAAACTCGGACTTGAGTGTTATTTCTGGATCAAATTATCCTAAACTAGGGCGAATAAGTTAACATGGCAACAGAGGCGATTGGCGACTATGCGGTCCGAGTCTGGCAGATTGAAAATCGTCTGGATGGCGCCGAACGTACCATGGCGAACTGTTCTCTCATTCGATAACTCTTGGAGATACAAAAGTTGCTCTTGCCAAAACTTTTTGTCTATGCATTTACGGTATTTACTTTTGATATATTTCAATACGAAAACCATTCCGCCAACGATAATATTGCTGTTCATTCTGTTGCTTTACAACAACAATGCACCAATCACACATTGCTGGGAATTACTGCAACTAAATGGGAAAATGACTTCAATTTTGTATTTATATAATCTATACTTTATACGATTATACACGAACATTTGTGAGCAAATGAAGAATGTAACTAGTTTGCATCAGACTTTATGAAGAAAATACAGTATTATATTCGTCCATTATAATCTGTTTAATTCATTTCCAACCGAGGAAAATCCTGAAGTAGACCGGAGCATTAAACGAATTCTCATTCCCCTATAAAGCGGTTCCAAGTTAATAAAAATGCCCTTAATAAAAAGTCCTTAAAAAGTCTCTGGCTTCGATTTTATAGCGTGTGCTGACTTATCTTGATATCAACGTTTCGTTTAAAAACATTTTCTTGTTTCGCCCATAAATCGACCTATAAACATTTTAATGTCATTACAGCTGGACATTTTTCAAAGAAATGCACATTGCAAAACAGATCAAGGAATTTGTTCCGAAGAAAACTTTATATCTAGAACAGATATTAAGGGTTTACCTCAAGGCGTCACTTCCAAAGAAATTAGCGCCTTTATAATTAAAAAATTAACGACAAACCGAAGAAACGGGGAGTGTAACTTTTATAACGAAAAATCGGACAATCAATTATCAGAATACAAATACACTATATTGTTTTATACGTGGGACAAATATAGAAAATAGCCATTTGCAATTTTAAATGCAGCAAAATAATTTTTTCGGCTCCTAATTTAACATTTAAAAAGAAATACATAGTTTTATACTGTTGCACTGAAATTGAATTATTTTATAGTTTCTCTTGAATTAAGACAGGCGAAAACCAACGTCCAGCAAACCAGTTTTTCTTATCAGCATCCAAATGTTACTTTGAAATGAATTCCACTTTTTCTTCACTTCTCCGGTTATTGAATCCTCGAGACAATTCCAAAAACGATATTCTGCCTGTTTGTTAAATTTCATTTACCCCCTGCCTTTCGTTTACAAAAATAATATTGCACTCGTGACTCGACCCGGCTTTATTTCTGTCGAATATCAGGCAAGGTATTTGTTTTTTCATTTCCTTCCATTTGTCAAGGAAACCCATTTATGTTGCAAATCTGTTTTTAGTTCGGGAAGATTACTTACCTATTTGTATAATGTATATATAAGTACAATATACAAATTTTAAAACACCGATTTTAGTAACATCAATAAATTTATATAAGTACAAATAATACATACAACAGTATGTATTATTTGTACCAATGTATTGAAAGTGAAGTGAATGTCAATATAAATATATGAAATGAATCCCACGATCTAAAAACCGTCTAAACTCCATCTCACACTTAGAAATTTCATAAAAAATCCCACTCAAATGAAAAAATTATATTCCTCTCATGAATTGACAATATGCCAAGCGACACAATAAAATTCTTGAACAGCATGTTCACATATTTTTCCAGAACTATGTCTGCTGTATTACGTCATTTGTGTTCTAAGCACGTTTAGATTTTGTGGCCCATGTTTTGTAAACTGTATTCTTTTCGGAAGTAAATAATCCTGAAATTTCATGTTCGGAAGAGAAGGAATTTCTAGTTCACGTCCTAAAATATTTTATAGCAACAGATTATGGATTTAAAAAAATATATTTATTTACTGAGCAGACTTCCAATTAAATACATTTTTTTAATTGCTTCTGAATGAACCGTTGTAAAAATTTGAATTAAGAATAAGAACACTAATGTTCAGGTAGAGGAATGAGATCCTCAAACACTGAGAACTGTAAGTGAAAGCAGTAGTTAATGATAAAAAAACAGTAACTATATAAATCGCTTGATTTGAAGTAATAAAATACATAACCAAGATATGTAGAAATTGTGGACAATATGGTTATCAACCAGTGAACAAAACCCAATATAGAATAATATTTTAATAAATATTTACATTCTCACAGACAGGTATTATTTACTGAAGCTAACAACACAGCACGATATTTACTTTCCGGATTTTATCACTTTTTATAAAATTATACGTTACATGTAAGAGACTTTGTGTAGATATTGATAATTTTCGTTCTAACAACTTGAATAAATAACAAGTTATTGACGAATCTACTTGAATTACAGACGTCATTATGAGGCTTAAGACAGAAGATGGCCATTTGTATTTTGTGCATATATTCTGAATTATGTAGGCGCCCGAATCACTTCAGATCGGACAATGGGAAAAGGGAATGAAAATATTTAATGGGGCATAGCGACGTTCGAGTAAACACTATTCCCCAAGTACGAACGCTCTAAATTGAACCGAGACATTAATACAAAACTGGCACAAATACATTGATATTTACATATATAAACCAAATGAAAAATAAAACATGTTTGCAACAACATCGTAAAAAGTTTTTTCTTTAATTGGCATGACTGCACGTAAGGAGTGAAAGCCAATGTGTACTGGAGCGAAACATTCTTTGGTGAAATTACAGCCGACATTCAGTAGCGTACAGGAAGATGAGCTTGATTCTTTTAATTTAAAATTTAATCATTCAGTATAAAAAAAACACAGTTTGATTGTTTTCAGATTGATGCCTAGAGGTTTCAAAAATAATTTTCTCACTACCGAAGTTGAAAATGTCTAGGTTTTGGCAATATATCTGTCAATATATTGATTTATTTCTAATACCTTTTTCAATTTTGAATTTCCTGGGGTATAGTTCGCGGTCTTCTTAAGCCACGCTAATGTAAGTATTCAAATATAATAATAAAAGTTTAAAAACTGTTCAAATTAAGTCAAAATAACAAAAGAAATGTCCCAAAGGCAGTTTAGGTCGCTAATATCTACTGTTTTACTGAGTGAAAGTTGATTACGTTAGTTGATAGGTAATTAAGTTTGAAAAAACGTGTTCAAATGTTTTGAATTTAATTAATAAGTATTTATTTTTAACGGCAGAAAGACCGATTGGGCCTATAGCCTTTTTCGCAGCAAATCAAGATTATTATTATTTATTATTATATTATAATATGTAATTATATAGACAAATTTCAACGGATAAATTTATATTAAAATAAAAATAGTTGCTATTTTAATAAAACCATGTCAAATAGGCATGTTATATAAATCAATAAATGGCTGAAATAAATGCACATAATTGTGGAAGTAGCTAATCAATCGCGTGTTCTAGAAGAAAAAGTATGTATCAAAAACAAACCGCTAGACCAATTTGACGTATTATTAATGTGTTAGCAAGAAGCCTAATGGTCAGTCAATATGAACAAAATTCATCGCCTGAAGAGATTCAAACCAAATGGCTTGGACAGATTGGGGTCAGAATGTATAGAAAATCAGGGAAAAACGAAAACTTTAGCAAAACGTATTTAATCGCAAGCCAACTTCAGTTTAATTTAGGATATCGTATTCAAGCAAGAGTTCAGCATTGCAAAATGGTTTTCCAATATTTGCTGGCGATAAAAATATCGAGAAAACCGTTATTTGCGTAAATTTAAGCAATCGCTATATGTCCATCATACTCTTGCGTGTTGCTCATTGATCGAAAGACAAAAAAATTGTGTTATACTATTTCTGTACACAAGATTATACGAGGGTCGTTTGATAAATGTGACGTTTTCAATTTCCCGCGCAGAAACTTTAAAATCAACACTACACCCGTCAACTGTCGTCTATTAGTAGACAGCTGTGAAATTTTGAGCGTCATTTAGTTCGTTTTTAACATTCATCAACTCATTTAAAGGAGATGACTTCGTTAATTACGTCGAAAATAAAAAAAAAGGGAATTTCGGGTGCTGATTCAGCATTATTTTTTACGTAAAAAACCATCAAAGAAGCGAAGGAAAAGCTCGATACATATTATGGGGACTCATCATGCACCATCAATTCTGATGGATAAGAAGTGGTTAAAAGTAAAACTGAGTTTCGTTGTGGTAGTACCAGCACAAATGACGCAGAACGGTCAGGTCGTCCAAAAGAGGTTGTTACACCAGAGAAGGTCGATAAAATCGATGGAACGATACTGGACGACCGGAGAAGATCGGAGTGCGTGAGATGGCTGAAGGTGTAGGCATCTCAACTGAGAGGGTATATCACATTTTACATGAATATTTGGATATGAAAAAGCTATCCATACGATGGGACGATACGACGATACGATTGCTAACACTCGACCATAAGCGGTCCCGTGTGACCATTTCAAATGAATGTTCAGCGAGGTTCCGTCGCAATCCGAACGAGTTTTTGCGACGTTTCGTAACGGTTGACGAAACGTGGATCCACCACAGCACACCAGAGACCAAAGAACAATCAAAACAGCGGGTTTCTTCAGATGAACGTGCACCAAAGACGGCCAAAATGGGTCTGAAGTCCCACAAAATGATCGCCACAGGTTTTTGGGATGCACGATACCTTAAAAAGGGTAAAACGATCACTGGCGCATATTATTCAGAGCTTTTGGACAGATTCGATGTTGACTTGAAGCTAAAATGGCCGCATTTGGGAAAAAAAGAGCTGTTTCATCAGGACAATGCACGGGTGCACACTTGTGTAGTCGCCATAGCAAAAATCCATGAATTAGGCTACGAACTGCGACCCCAACCAGCATATTCTCCAAATTTAGCCCCTGTGAATATTTCCTGTTTTCAAACCTGAAGCAATGGCTGGCTGTAAGAGATTTGGGTCCAATGAAGAGGTCATCGTTGAAACAAACGCATATTTTGAGGACCTTGAGAAATTATATTATTTGGAAGGGATGAAAAAAATTGGAACGACACTGGACTAAGTGAATCGAGCTAAAATGAGAGTATATTGAGAAATAAAACGTCTTTTGGACACAAAAAAATATTTCAGTCAAAAAGTCACTAACTTATCAAACGACCTTCGTAGACTTCAAGTATTCTAAATTGAACTCTGAAAAGTGATGCTTTAAGCTTAATCATTATTATTTTTGTCCTTATAAAGTTTGCTCCAAAGAACTTCAATATATCTTTAGATGTTTGATGATGTAGTATTTAAAATAAATTTCATTTTGCATTTTGAATTAATGAATACATTTTTAGAAATGTTCCCTTTATTATATTTGTCACTCGTTTTGTTCAACTTGTAATATACATACTTTCGAGAACGAAAACAATAATGACAAGCTAAAATTGAACAAACAAGATCATTGTCATCTTTTAAATTGCTTTGAACTTGACATGGATGTTTTATTACCATTGAAATTGAAATTTTCTTGAGCGGAAACGAAGAACAAACTTGTAATAAATAAATGGGAACAAAGAGCAAGTTAGCATCGCTTTTACCTGAACTTCAATAATTTCTCTAGCTTATTTTGCAGATAAACTTTGTTGAAAAATTTTCATGGCATAGATTTTTAGGATTACATGGCTTAACTTAAGGAACAATGCAAGTTAATAAGAGTTTTATTCGAGCTATCGGAAAGTCACTGTATATTCTCACCAGGTCTGTTGTCTGGCTGCCGATTGAAACTTCGTATAAATATTACAAATATCGGCCTGATAATATAAGAGTTGTATTGGGTAAATACCTGCTTAACACAAACAAATCCGAGTAATATATGATAGCAATAATTTTTAGCTAAAATATTTATTATAAATACGTTATTTATTGGCTCGGTCGGACCGTTTATAAAAATATTATTTATAAATACTTAAAATAGGCATTAACACAACATTTAATAACCCGGCATTCCCAAATATTGTAAGATATAGCATACTTTCATAAAAAAATATTCCATAAATATTGGAATGCAAAAAACCAAAATCGAAAAAATCCACTTTTAATTAACGTAATTTTTTTCTGAATTGAACAAAATTAATACAATCGAATAGTCGATGTGACTACTAAAAAATGTTCGTTTTGGCTAAAAACACTTCGCATTCCGTTTGGAGTTACCTTTCAAATAATTCCCGTTTGATTCTTGGTATCGGGGTCTGATTGTTTATGTGTTCATTTCACGCTGCAATGATAAAAACCTAATTTATTCAGAAGGAAATTGTGAATGAATGATATAGCCGAAAGAACTGTTTAATACCTACTTCCCAACAAAGAACCAAAGTATTGTTAAAGATTAGAGTCGACACCATTAAATAGAATACCAAACCGCAAAGCGTATGCTAAATATACAATAAACAATGGAGTTTGCACCTGACGAGTTCCTAGGTAGAGAAGACAATACACCTCGAGCTTTGTGCAAAATCAGTAGCGTATCTAAAAATTATTCAAAAAGCATATCCACCTACGAAGACACTTTTGAATCAAACTCAATTACAGAAGAAGCAAGAAAACTTAGCCATGTATAAATTTCAACTACGTATAATATATCTCAGACAAAAAGATACTGATTTATAAATATGTATATTACATTGCATATTCAAAAGCTGAAAACTTCTCCAATACAAAAATAGATTTTTGTGCGCGCACAAAATTAAGTTAGTCCTGTTTTTACGTTAGTAAAGTTTCCAGCCGGCTGAATTATAAAAAGGTCGAGACCACTGGAGAATTGTCTCTGACCCGAAAAGTGAAACACAACGATGCCAGAATGTTTACCAAGTTTCCATGTACATGACTATTCGATATGATTAAGTACTCCTGTGCATCCCAAAACGTTACAAACCTATATAATTACATGTTTCGAGACAATTTCAAAAACTCTTCTGAGCCGAATATTACTGACAAAATTTATACATTTAAAGAAACGTTTAGTTATATCGGGTGTCAATTTGAAAACTTCCTACTCTTAATATCTTTTTTGCAGTTAAAAATATGAAAACTTGGAAAGACACGTCATTATTATTTGTAAGGGGACACTTTAAATTAATATTTATATCCTCCTTGTTTCAACCCCTTAGGAGGGGTAGATGTCACCCTGAGAGTTTTAAATGGGAAGGGGAGGTCAAGTGGCTTTAGAGGCGATCGCTTTAAAGGGCGTTTGATTCTCTTTCCATTAGTTATTACTTTGTTGCTTTTTGTCCAGAGGTTTCCGAAGAATCAATTTCAAAGTTATAGAAACAATTCAACTTACCTGCATTCAGATCTTGGTTTTCAGGTTAGTATGTACACAACAACGATTGTATGAGTCTCCTTGTAATACCAATGATTAGAAGAGTAGGTTACACCGTTAAAATCGTTGAATAACAGGAAGAAAATCTAGTTTAAACATTGATTTTTTTTTTATCTTTTTAATTGATTATTTTACGTCGGCAAAATTAACTTTTTATTTGCGGACGATTTCTACAATAAAACATATGGGACCTACTTAGGTACTATATTATAAGTTGTTCAAATGTTGTCAATTTTCCTGTAAACAATAACAAAGTCTGTTTTTGATCTCTTCTCTAAAATTTCAGAAAATTTCACCGGAAATTTACCGGCATTCTGCTACAATTCGAGTTTTAAGATCATCAATATCAGCAGGTTGTGTTTTATAAACAATGGACTTAAGATGTCGCCAAAGAAAGAAGTCTAAGGGGTGATTTTGGAGGCCATTCAATTGGTCCTCTACTGCCACTGGATCTATCCGGGACTATATTTTCAAAGTTAGGGAGAGTTCCAAAATAGACTTTATTATTGTTTACATGAAAATAGACCACATTTTGAACAACATAAGATAATGCGTAAGTAGATCATGAGCCATGAATTCATGATAAAACATTAGCTTTATACAGAAGTATAAAACGAATGTTAAAGATCATCACATGTTATAACTTCTTAAAAAATATGCAGCATGTGAATATTTTATTTTACATATAAACATAGAATTATGTAAAGACATTCAATAATAATATTATCTGAAATTGTATGAAGTCCAAATCAAGAGAAACCCAAAGTGTTCACATTGTGAATTAATGTATGCAGATTGGCAGCCGGTATATGCCGCATATGCGGTAAGGAGAAAATATCTTCCGGGAATAAAATCAGCCTGGCTTTATATTTCAGCACAAAATGTTTCCTCAGTATCCACATCCAATTCATACATTAACCATGCATCTAAAAATATTAACGAAGACATCAATGCTCAACCGACTACCTATGGATAATGTTTAACGGTATATTGCAAAAGTACAATACAATTGAACTCGCAGCCTCGAAAGATATTTAGAAGCATTTCAAAAGTTGTTTTAAGAAAGAAACTTTAACGAAGTTAATTACGAAGAGCTCAAAATGATAGTGGGAAAGGAAATAAAATAAACATTGAACTGTACCCAAACAATGCAAGACGCTGTCCATGGAATCATGTCGTAATTAAAATTAAGAATTTACAAGTTGTGACAAAGACGAAAACGATTTTTGCCATTCTTATATATATATTTCTATTTTCTTATTTATGAGGCTTGTGAAGAAACACCGAAAATTGAGAACGTGTAGTTAAGAATGGATGAAAGTGTTGAATAATCTCCATCAACAAGTTTCTAGGTGAGAAATTTTTTATCGAATGTAGAAATCCTGTAGAGAAAAGTGACTGGTCTAATATAAATAAACATTATAGTTAAGTATTCAGAAGCATTGAAATTAACCATTTTGAAAAATCTTTGCATTAAAATAATTTTATTCAAGGTTTAATATTGGTTAAGGTTAAAAAGATACGTGCATGCATCGAACAACGTAGAGTTAAAATTTGTGATACACCCATCCTTCGCGATTTTATTTTATTGACAATAATAGAATTTTGGACCCGGGATTGAATTTACTGCATGGACTTGTATCATGTCAAACTTCAGAATCCGGAAAAGTGTTTTTAAATCGTATAATTTCCGATAGAAAGACCTTTAAAAGAGAGAATCGCGGTTTAAAAGACACTGATTGAAGCGGATTTTTGCCACATTGAGGATATATACGAGTATCCCTATATATTAGGATTTTAAAAATATTTGCAAAAGCTTGGCAGTAATGTACCAATTCAACTGTTCTTTTCATAGATTTTCATACGACAATCGAACTGCAAAAATGATGTGAAAAAATTAGTTCAGAACTTTCATTTAAATACTATAAGATATAAAGACAAATATGATTTAAAATAATATTTGAAATAGTTTTAAAATGTTGAATGTCAAAGTCCACCTTAAGTACACATTGAATGTTTCTGTAAAAATTTAAAAATAAACAAAATAAAGAGGCATGGTAATGGTTAACAATTTGGATGTGACACAAGAACGTTGGAACTGTGATTTTCAAATTTCCATTGCGAGATTTGGGGCAATGGTCCAACATCGTGAAACAACCTGTATATTGAACAAACACAGTATCATCACCGCGTAAACTATTTACATTAAATGAAAGAAGCGAAAGTGGCGAGAACCGCATTTTAAAAGAACGGTGTTATATACATATTCCTGATAACGGACGACTAAAAATTCTGGAAAATTTCAAGAAAAACGAATTTTTATAGATTGACTGCGTGGATAGAAGTGGAATACCGGGCACAATTGAGGAAAGAATCCAATTATTGGCTCGAACGGTATTTAATGATGTATATTTACGGCAAAAGAACAATTCAGCTCGGTTTTCCTGGAGTTGAGACTTAAATCAATTACTAGACTAATCGATCAGTATTCTGTGAAGAGAAGGCCAATAGAAAATAACTTTGGGGGAACTGGATAACGTAAATTGCGATTACATGAGATAACTAATAA